TCATAAAAGTGGGGCAACAAAGGATTAACAGTGCCGTATCTTCGAGTTTCTCCGCACATTCTCGATATCGTCGTTTTTCAGGACGTATATTGAATCGTTTCTCGAAAGATGTGGGTACAATGGATGACCAATTATCATTTGTATTTTTCGAATTTCTCATGGTTAGTCTAGCATAAACTTTATTTTGGGACGATATAATCACCTGGTTTTCTTAGGGTGCCCTGAACTTCTTTGGAATTGTTTTTGTAATTCTCATTTTGAACCCTATCGTTTTTATCCCTACATTGCCTCTTCTCCTTCTGTTTTTCCTACTTCGAGTTGTATATCTCGCGTCATCACGGGATGTGAAGCGCCTTGAAGCCACTAGTGAGTTTTGATACGTCTTTATTCGTTACTTAGTGGACCAGACTTGTTTGGAGTTATAGTTCCAGTACTAGTAAGTAGTAAGTATCAGTATAGTACCAGTAAGCCAATAGCAGAGGCATGATTCCTTGCAGCTCGAAGTCCTCTCTATTCGTACATCTCTGCATTTATGAATGGCTTATACACTGTTAGAGCTTTCGGCAGGCAAAAAGAAGTGATACAGGAATACCATCGAGCTCAAGTAAGTTTATTCCCTCTATTTTGCACTGCATTTTTCTTCATGGGGGAGGTAATCCAGTGGCATGTGGTCCGCTTACCGCGCGCAAATCCGGAAATCAAGTCCTTGATCAGTTCTCGCCCATGTCAGCTTAGTGTTCTTCCCTCCAGGGACGTTAGATTGGTGGACCTATCGGGAGGACAAAACACTGTTCATCGGCTGGCCCTTATATGTATAGTCATGCATGTGTAGCCCATATATTTAGCCCATAGCTGTGTACCTCAAATGGACCTAGTGAGGGCCGAGGAGCCCTTCGAATCAGCTGATGGGTTTTCTATTGTATTTAGGCCAACGTAACTTGTAGCTGGGGCACTGGTGGGGTAGTGTAGAGATACCCTTACCAGACGCGCGATCCGAAGGTCAAATCTTGAACCGGCTGCGGCCCAGGCCAGCCAAGCCATCTACCCAATAGGTTTCAAAGGGGGCGGCAAAGGTAACGGATTAGTCTAGGAAAATAAGAACACTGCTTTGTACTTTGGTTGTCATTGTATAGGCCACACAGCATCCGATAGGCCATTACGATGCTGAAGGGAAGTTGAATGCGTGCCGCATCCCAAAAAAGGGATTAATCAGCGGCAAAAGTTTTACACCACATTTTTTTCTCTGGTGTTATACGTTACTATTTATGTGCTACTGCTCTGAGCCTTACAGTGTTGCAGAATGTGAACACGGCTGCTTTCGGTCTCACATTATCCACTTCTCGATGGTTTGCCGTCTGCATCGACTGGCTCGTGGCATTGTTTGTTTCCGTGGTTGCATTCTTCAGCGTATTCACACCAGGTACTTTGCACCATGCTAGTAATATAACAAAAGACTTTCTTTCCCACTTGGTGCAGCTTTGTCCTGAATGTAGTAGTCAAAAGACTTCCAAACGCTCGTGTGAATGGTTGTACAGTGTCCTTTACCTACTATGTAGAGTAGTTTGGTTTACGAGTTCCCAATGCTTCTTCACACCTGCGATTCCCTAAATGGGTCCAGGGAAGGTTAGAGTTGTTATCCAGCCATTACATCTAATACTGAATGGCAGCCGTTGTAGTCATGATCACGTCGGAAACTGCTATGCACAGTACGGAGCCTATTTGTGTGTGTTGTGGTGTGTTGGTGGTTGTGGGTGTTGTGGTGGATGTGTGTGTATGTTGGGCGGTGTGCGTCCTCGGAGTTGTGCTTGCGTGCAAGCTTAGGCGCTCCGCCAGATTCCCCTTCCTGCGGTTTTAAAGACACATGGTACGCTCAAACACATTGAGCGTGTATGAGACTAACAGCCCCCCAGCTGTCGATGTGTCGTGGTTTCCCCGCCTGAAACTGCACGGGGGTCCGAGTACGGGACCGTGGGAAAGGCTTATTCCTTGCTACACCGCCCAAAATGCAACTTGCCGCAGTGAATTTGGCGGTTAGCCAAGGAAAAGCCTTCCACCGGTCCCGTACTAGCTACCCCGTGCAAGTTCGGCGGAGATAACCTACGACACGTCGACACCTGGGGGGCTGTCATTAGTCTCAATCACCTTTCAATGTGTTTGAGCTACCATGTGATCTTAAGTGCTCATTCTACATAAGCTTTCAATAGATCGCTCGTGAAGTTGAAGGCTAAGCTGCTGTAAATGATTTACTGAATACCAAAATTCATGAATTCCTTCTGCTTGTATAGAACTCATTCAGTTCAGCCTCCATGAGCTCCGGAGAAGTGGCATTGATGTTGGTTTATGCTGTCCAGTTGACGGGATTCTTCTCTTGGATCATGCGTCAGTCAGCTGAACTGCAGAACGGAGTGGGTATTTCAAGAATAGCGCGCGTTTGTCTTCCAATAGCAAAATTCTTTCTATTTGTGAATGAATTTTTCAACTTTGCTGTCTTTCATTCATAAATCGGGAAGGACAACAGATCGCAGCTGGAGTTTTGTCCAATGAGATTGTATGACTTACTGGTAAGGTTTTTTAGTGTTTACGAGTATTGGTTGTCCAAGTCTGCTTTGCGGGAGTCGTGCTGAAAAAGTGTGTCGGGACGGGTGCCAGCTACCTTCAAGTTCGCATGCAACGAGTCTAGCCATCGCTGTTTGGGGCGTCCCTCAGGCCGTCCCGGGCACCTCGAGCTCAAGTCCAGTCTTGCGGACGGTGTCAGCATCGCCGCGCTAGTAGCATGGCCTTACCAACGGAAGCCGAGATTGGCGCATGTCTCGCTACGGAAACTGCCTTTGTGTGGCGGTTTTACACCGAATCTCTTGTGTATGTCACCAGTGCCGAAGCGCGACCATACCGCGTGACGCCGTTCGTCCAGCGCAGCATTTTCGTCTTTATCACTCCGGGGCGGGCCTCAACTTCCTTGGTCGTAGGCCAGCATTCAGCACCGTATATCGCGACTGGTCGAACGACGGTCCTATAGATCTTTGACTTTGAGGCGATCTGGTATCGTCTTGTCGCAAAGAACGCCAGTCATAGAGCGCCATTTAGACCAGACCGCACGCACACGCGCGCCCACTTCGAGTCCATACTGCCATCAGACGTAAGTGTAGATCCGAGATATCTGAACGTCGTCGTACGCGTTAGCTCACTGCCATTGACCATAAGAGAACCGAACTCACCTGAGTCGGTTGTCACTCGGTTTTCTTGACGTTTAGTCTGGTTCGAAGTTTGCCAAGCGGTGAGACCAGGTTTGCACCTTTCGAGATCATTCTTATCGTCACAGACGGGCATCACATCGTCAGCGTAGAGAAACGTCCAAGGGGCCGATTTCCAAAGGTCTCGTGAAATGGTATTCATGACGACAACGAAGAGCACCGGGGAGAGCGCGGATCCTGTACCGCCACTGTGATGGGGAATTCCATTGAAATGTCTGCTGATGTTCGTACTCGACTAGTTGGGCTGGAATACAGGATGCGTACCCACTCAATCAGTTCTTCGGGAACGCCGTGCTGCGTAAGGCGTACCATATAACTTCACGCGGGACGCGATCGAATGCCTTCTCCAAGTCAAGGAAGGCTAGGTGGACATGCTTCTTCTTCTCACGATGTTTCTCTAGCAAGAGACGAGCGGCATGTATGGCGTCGATGGTGCTACAGCCGGTCACGAAGCCACACTGGTTGGTAGAGAGCTGGACGATATCACGGATACGACTGTCAACAATTCGCTTAGGAATTTTCATGGTTTGCGAGAGAAGGCGAATTGGGCGGTAGTTTAAGCAGGCTGCAGGGCTGCCCTTCTTATTCCAGATCAGTTCTTTCTTCCGGAACTGTTGTGCTTTCTTGCCATCCTTCGGGCATCTTCTTCTCTGCAACGACCTGATTGAAGAACATTGTCAACCATTCGGCAGCATGCCAGCAGTGTGACTTCCATACTTCGACCGCCACGTCGTCAGGGCCCGTTGCCTTGCCTGCTTTCATCTTCTTAAGAGCCGCTTCCGTTTCTTTTGCGGTTATCTTCTGAAAGGGACCGTGTATTGGTGACAGAGTACAGCATGGGGATGTGCGAAATGGCGGTGTGAGTACGACCCCCCCCTCGAAGAGGGTCCAGTTACGACCCCCCCCCTCCTGCTCTAACTGACAACCAGATGCATGTTCACATGAAATGGCTTCCTGAAATGGAATCTGGAATTTTCGAAAGGCGGACTCTGCTCTATCAAACTTAGCAATGACACTTTTGTACTGTTTGATGCTTAGCAAGCCTACATTTGCAATACTCCCCACGTCGTCTGTCCACACCCATGCCTGCTTGTCAATTCCCACGTCTTCCAGGCTTCGTTGTGCCAAGTTCGGACGAGCGGCGTCAGCTATGGCTTCGGCAGCCTTTTTCCAGGTTTCGTCTACAGTTGTGACGGCAGGCAGCCGATTACGAGCGATCACAGCTGCATTCTTTTCTTTCAAATGTCACCACTTGATTCTCTCGGAACCACACCGCTTGACTTTTTCGACCTGGGTGGCGCGATCTTTAGCGTGCAGATCAACGGGCGATGTTGCGTGGCAACTGTCTCGTACGGCACGACTTTCGCGTCTGTGACAAGCCCCTGATCGCGATGCCTGACAAGAACAAAGTCTATCTGTGTTCTGGCATTTCCGCTGTAGGAGGTGGGAGTCACGTTCACGGAATTTTGTGCTCACGATGACAAGATTATGCGCTTCTGCTTAACCCAGGATGCGCTCGCAAGCGACATTGCGTGCTTCATAACCGAAACCACCATGGCAGCTGTAGCCGCCTTTCGTAGCGCCTACGTGACCGTTTAGGTCACCAGCGACAATGACAGCGTCTCCTGACGGTATCTCAGCTGTCTTCTCAAACTAAGACCAGAACTCGTCCTTTGATTGCGCAGTGCATCCTGTTTGCGGGGCATACGCAGAAAAGAAGTGGTACAGTCGTTGCTGGACAGCTGAAACAATCATCAGGCGTCGTCGAAACGTTCCACGCTAGCTATCGAGTCACAGAAACGTTGAGAGACGATCGCGGCCACACCGTTGGTAGTCCTTGGCTTGCCACAAAGAATGGCTTTGAAGCCGCGACCAATGTCTCTCGACTTACAACTGGACCATCTTGTTTCCTGCACCGCACAGAGATTTAATCGTCTGCGCTCTGCCCGCATGTGCGTCCCGTCAACGTCTCCACATTTAACGTTGCAATGCTAACTTTCCATGCACTGCGGGACTTTTGGACTAGCTTACTTGCCCCCCGATGCCGTCTTTGCATCGGAGACCCTCACATTCTTTCCACACTCGCCGGGCCTTGCGAGTGCGCGTGGGCTCCCGCGGACGGTATAGCCACTGATTCGAGAAACTTGTGGCATAATAAAACACAAGCGATGTGACTTGGGTGTTCTAGGTCGGCCCGTCACGATGGCCTGTCACCTGCGTCGCGTCCGCGTTTGGCTTAGCTCGCTGAAGCGAGCAGTTCCCAGTGGCACCACGATAACGTCAATCGCAGGGGTCTTGAAAAATCTTTTCAAAGAGGTCTGCAGCAGATATGGAAGACACATTCGTAGTCACCATCCAAAAGCACATCGTTTGGTATACATCTCATTTCGAATGCAACTTCGAATTATCCGTCTTTCCTTAGTAAGGGCTAAGCAGACAATTATGGTTTTACGGGTTGTCCCGTCAGATGTTTTTACCTTTTGTGTGGTTGGGAAAGGGCGCTCATCCACGACACTTTCTTTGTTAAAGGCAGTTGGCACGATAAATCGTTATACAGGTGTAGGATTTGTACAACTGGCTTAACAGAATTCCGTGACCTCGGACAGGCGCTGCGTGAGCCTTTTCCAAGGAGGGTACCTCTATAACGCCCTATTGAGCAACAACTTTACGTCCCAAACGCCTTCCTTGCCCGCCCGCCCACAAACGGACGACCGTTTCTGACGCTCGTATTCATTCATTTGCTGAGCAAATTATGAAGCAAAGGGATTGGTATGAAGCGGCAGTGATGCTGCATGCATATATGGTACACATATGCAGCCGTACCTTCGGTAGCGGTGATTGGCATAAGATTGCGTATGGAAACTCGTCCGAAATCGATTTACAAGTCACTGAGAACGGAGGCTTTTTTCGCCGGATTTTGACCGTTTCACTCCGTTCTTTCGCCATTTCCCCACTATACAGCGCCCTACTAGCATTTTAGGCTAAGTAGGAAACCATCGTGCCAACTGCCTTTAACATCTCTGCGATGTTGCTTCCAGGGAGAGATATTGTCCCCACCCCCCCCCCCCCCCCACGAGCACTTAAAGGCACAGTTCGCGACCGCAAATTGCGGGAAACGGAACTCAAATAGGCACAAAAAAGTGCTAAGTATCTGATTAGCGGAGAAAAGCAGCAGAAAAAGCAGTCTGAATGTCTATAGGGAAGTAGCATAGTGGCTACTAGCTAGTAGCTAGCAGCCGGTGAGGGTCGGCATGGGCCTAAGGGGTGTCCATGGGCCTAATTAGTCAGCTTCTAGCGGAGTTCTTGCCGTTTTTCACATTTTGAAAGTAGCGCAGCCTCAAAAATCGCCTTCCGGATCGTCCGACACATTTGAGAGATCGTAGCCTTATTTTATTTTATACGCAGGAATGCTGCCTTTAAGTAGTATGGTCATGTTTAGAATGCTTCTCATCTCTTTCGTAGGCCGTTTCACTTTTCGAATGATACTTGCTTGATCGTTTTATTTGTTTATGGTGCTTGAAAACACACTGCAGATTTGGGGTGACTTTGTCATCAGTTCTCCTGTTAAAGGCAGGCACATACCTCAGACAAGGTGGTCCGTACGCAAGCCCCCACTTTCACAGCTACGCTCGCGACGAAGGCGAACGCCCCGCCCTCTGCCCAACGCTGCACTCAACTTTTGAAAGGCTTAAAGCAGTCTTGTTGATGTCGAGTTATCCACCAGCCAGTTTGCGACAATTTGACCGCTTCGCTAACGCTTCTCGTTTCCTGAGTTTTGAACAGCGCGCAGTTCGGCGAGGGGGGGGGCGGCCAAATTGCACTCGCTGCTCCCCATTGCCGTGTCGAGCTACCAAATAAAGATTTGTAAAATCTCTCGAACCCATGAAGTGGTACCTGTCAAAGTTTGTAGGAACTATACTTGCCAACTCTTGTATGGATTACCTGTCAACTTTTGTGAAAAGGTGAACACGACAGTGGGAAGCAGCGCAAGTGAAAAATACGCCACCGCCTCCCTCGCCCAACTGCGCATACGCACGCATATAACAAACGCATTCAGTCTCTCTGTCTTTGATTTACGTAAGCATCACAGGCTGAAAATCGCGATGAAAAAATGACGTCATACCAAGGGAGATCAATTTCCGAAATGGTTTCGCTGATACTTTCTGTGGCCCTTATGCAATGCTTTGACCCCGAGTTGCAGATGGTTTCCGTCGAACGTATCGTCCAGTACACGGAGTTGGAGTCGGAGCATGACAGCGTCGCTCCGTTGGTAGATGTACCGAAATCGTGGCCTTCCGAAGGGCATGTCACGGTGAGTTATTGGAAATTGTCCAAGTTTCTTGCGCTAGATGGCTCAATGTTCCAATTTTACAGATTACGAACATGTTCCTGAAATATAATGAAGGCGAAGATGGCGACTTTGTTCTCAAAAATATATGTCTTGATATTAAGCCAAAGGAAAAGGTGCCCCCTCATTTTCAATAGTTTTTTATTTCTTGGAATAAGCGGATATTTGTCTCCAGATTGGTATTGTTGGTCGTACTGGAGCTGGCAAATCTTCTCTGCTTCGCGCTTTATTCCGCCTTACTCCTCCCGTATCAGGGAACAGTAATGATTGACGATGTGAATACAGCGCTGGTTCCACTGAAGACACTTCGACGCGGAATAGCCATTATCCCTCAGGTGACACTTTGATCCCCACACCCTTCCCATTTCCCCCTTCTTCATTTTTCCTTTGAATGGTTTTTGTGCTCGTTGCATGTCTTTCTATATTTGCTCAAACTCTTCATTTGAACGGCCTTAACTTGCTTACTTGAAGGCAGTTAGCACCATAACTCCCTAAGACGAGTAGGATTAATATGCCTGGCAGGACGGAATTCCGCGCCCCTGAGCAGGCGCTGCGTAGCGCCTTTTCCAAGGAAGGTACCCTTATAAGGCCCTATCAATCCGCAACACGCCGACCCGGGCACATCGCGCCCGCCTACAACTTTGCGAGCGTACCTAATGCTCGTATTGCTTCATTTGCTCTCACCCACTACATACACGAAGCATAATCATAGTTCCACCCATGAATCTCACAAAATCCTGTCTTACACGAAGTTTTCCAAAATGCCCCCATACAAAAAATGTGGTAATTACCAATACCAATTCGCATGCCAACAACAAACACTCTAACTTGAAAAAACAATTTTTTTTCGTCAATTTTTTCAAAAATGGTCGTTCTGACAACGCAGCAAAAGTATAGTTCCACCGAACAAATCGAATATTCCAACAACAAATGTACAATAAAATGAATAAATTTTGATCCAGTAATCTATTGGAACTCTATTTCTCCAATTAAGTTGGAAAATACGGTTGCCCATGTTCGATTAGAGATTTCCAGTAGGCTTTCGGCCGACCCCAAATGATTAACTCCCTAAGCTCACGGACATTGTGGAATTGTGCATTACTCTCATGGATCATACGCACCATGAAGCCCCTCACATCCTCGATTGGGTTTTAGTCGGGGCTACTCGCTGGCCAGGGCAAAAGAGCGGTTTGGTGACGACTGAACCACGCTCGAGTGCTTCGACTGTCATGAACTGGTGCATTATCCTGCATGAAAACGGGACTTTCTTGCTGATTTCTACGCCAGCAAGGAGACGTCGTCGCATGACTTTTAGATGACGGAAGAAATCATTTCTTTTTCATACGGAGCACAGTTTCAGACGTTCCATTGATGCGATGGCAGCCCAGACTATGAGACCACATCCACTTCCGCCTGGAAAAATGAAACTTGTCTTTCCTCATATCGTGCCAGCGGAATCGGTTTTCGTCGGAGCCGTCGCAGTTGAATTTTTTCTCACAGCCAAAAGCTATCCTCACTCCAATCGGTTCGGCAACATCTTCGAGCAAAGCCAATTAGGTTTTCGCGATGGTTTTTTGTTAGAAACAGTGCCCAACTCATATTCCTCCTGTGGGTGAACTCAGGAGTTTTTCAAGAGACGCCTAACAGTATCCTTCGAGACATTAACCTCCGAAATGACTTAATTTCCCGACACGACACTGCAGAGTTGGATGCTTTCCTCAAGATACGGCGCTTATTCCGATCGGTCAGCAAAGGAGGATGTCCAGAGCTCTTCTCAACTCAATATCCTGTAGGTCCCTTGAAAAAATTGTTGATAGCATGATGAGTGCGGCCCGAATCCCGCGCCATTCGACGATTCAACAGTTTTTGAGACTTCTTTGTGATAATCTGTCCCTTTTCGAGGTCCATTAATGAAGTTCCACTTGCCATAGCCTAGAAGAGGCAGAAGTCATAATGATGAGAAGTTTCACCGAACAAAAATGAGATGCAGCCGGAAAATATGCGGTGGAACTATACTTTTGCTGCGTTGTCAGAACGACCATTTTGAAAAAAAATTGTTTTTTCAAGCTAGAGTTTGGTGTTGGCATGCGAATTGGTATTGGTAATTACCACATTTTTTGTATGGGGGCATTTTGAAAACGTCGTGTAAGACGGGATTTTGTGAGATTCATAGGGTGGAACTATGACTACCAGTTTGGCTGACGCGCACTTCTGCGCGCAAGGTTCCCAACACTTGGCCTGACTTCCATGTTTCAAAATATGGTCCATTTCTTCATATCTCTCCTCATTTGATCACTTGCCGATGTGCAGCGCATATCACATTTCTAAAAACACCATTCATAGCAGAATACGGACAGCCTAGCGGTCAAAAGAGTTTTGCTTTCACATCCTGGAACATTCGTAAAAAAGGTAAAACAGCTTCCACGTATCTGCCTGTCGGATGGCGCCTTATCATTCCTCATTGGCAAACAACTTTCGCGCTCACTTTTTGTCGAAACTCGAGAGTTTTACGGTCGAATCATTTCGACTATATCGATAAAGCATGTAAACATGTTGACTCGCTAAGTCGCAGGTCAGTTGCAAATAGAGAAAAGATGCGAACAATGACGAACTCTTGTAATCCCTTATCGGGCACTATATC